ATGGTGAGATTGGGCCCCTTTCTCAGACAGACGCAGACAGTGACCTGGTGGGGGACGTCTGTGACACCAATGAAGACAGGTGAGATCTTGCCAGAGCTGCAGGTTGTTCCGCTCCTCCGACCATGCTCACGGCCTGTGATTGGCCTTGATTCTGTATCACTTTGAGCACAGAGTCCATTGTCTGCCTTCTGCTCCTACCGCTGGGCCTCCCCACGGTGGCTGAAGGAAGTGGAGAAGCCCAGGTACCTTTCAGCCTTATCTGCCGCTGTTTTTCTGAGCAGCGACGGGGACGGGCATCAGGACACCAAGGACAACTGCCCACAGCTGCCCAACAGCTCCCAGCTGGACTCGGACAATGATGGGCTTGGAGATGAGTGTGACAGTGACGATGACAACGATGGGGTCCCCGACTATGTGCCTCCCGGTCCCGATAACTGCCGTCTGGTGGCCAACCCCAACCAGAAGGACTCAGATGGTAAGGCTGGCTGGGCCAGGAGGGTTGGGCTGCGTGGGCTCTGCGTGGCAGGAGCCGAGGGGTGTGAGCGAGGTCCACAAGGCGACAGCGACGGCCAGCAGCATAGCCATGGCTCCTGAGCAGCCAGCTTCACTTTGCCAGGCAACGGCGTCGGGGACGTGTGCGAGGATGACTTTGACAACGATGCAGTGCTCGACCCCCTGGACGTGTGTCCCGAGAGTGCGGAGGTCACCCTCACGGACTTCCGGGCCTATCAGACCGTCGTTCTGGATCCTGAGGGTGATGCCCAGATTGACCCAAACTGGGTTGTGCTCAATCAGGTACCTAGGGCAGGGGCTGGGCAGGTGCTCTCCTGCCAGACCCCCAGGGGGGCCTGGGTTGGGCAGTGCACTCCACCAGGGCTTTTTCCTTTAACACGCAGGGCATGGAAATTGTTCAGACTATGAACAGTGACCCTGGCCTGGCAGTCGGTATGTAAAGGATGCCCAGTTCAGTAACTTCCAAGTGGAAGCCCTTGCAGGGGCAGAGGGCAGGGCAGGGAGGAAATGGGTGAGGAGGCAGGGGTGAGCTGGCCACACAGCAGTGCCCCCACTGCGGGCCAGCAGTAGCCTTGCTGCCGCTGACCATTACCCCCCTCCCAGGGTACACAGCTTTCAATGGCGTGGACTTCGAAGGCACCTTCCACGTGAACACAGTGACCGATGACGATTATGCAGGCTTTCTCTTCAGTTACCAGGACAGCGGCCGCTTCTACGTGGTCATGTGGAAGCAGACAGAGCAGACCTACTGGCAGGCCACACCTTTCCGGGCTGTTGCCCAGCCCGGGCTGCAGCTCAAGGTCTCCCAACTGCCCAGTGTCCCCAAGCGCTCCCTGTCCGGCTCCAGGGCCTCCCCCATGGCCTGCCAGGAGATCCTCTTACCCCTAGGTCTGGCCTGAAGGTCGGTTCTGGCTGGGGCTTCAGAGAATTTTCTGGACCCCCGCACTTGCTTTCCCACCTGTGTTTACCCACCTGCCTCCCTTGCTGTGGTCCCGGGTTGACCCCTGTCTTTGCCGATGACCCTCAGGCAGTGACGTCAGCCTCCGGCCCAGGCGAGCACCTCCGGAATGCCCTGTGGCACACTGGCCACACCCCTGACCAGGTACGACTGCTGTGGACTGATCCCCGGAATGTGGGCTGGCGAGACAAGACTTCCTATCGCTGGCAGCTGCTGCACCGGCCTCAAGTCGGCTACATTCGGTGAGGGTGAGAGGGTGAGGGCAAGGCCTGCACCTTTGGCTGTTCCTTTCCCTTAGCTGGGATCACCCGAGGCTCTGGGGCTCTGTGCAGGTGTGGGGAGGTGGCCACTTCCCTCCACCTCCCTCCTCACCACAAGCATGGTGACCTGTAGGTCGTGCGGGCACAGCATTCCTCTCTGCCACACTCCCCCTGTAGAACTAGACGCCCTTTCCGGTTCCCCAGCCTCCTAAGGCCAGGCCCATCTGTGGAAGGCCCCTCACCTCCGGTCCCTCGAGTGGAACAGCCCAGAACCGGCATCTGACCCGGGGGACTCTCTTTCACAGAAGAGCAAACACACCAGGCCTAGCTCTCACATCCCCTCACTTCAGTGCTCCTCCTCAACTCTGCCTTTTCTTCCCTCCACACTCCTTAGCTAGTGGGATGTCTTGGGCAGGGACAGGAAGTTGGTCTGTTTGGAAGGTGGACTCTTGAGGGTCAAGAGCCCCATCCCGGGCGCTGGGCTGGTTCCCCTTTAAGGTGCCTGGGGCTGTGGGGCGCCAGGGCACGGGATAAAGGGGGTGGACTGGAGCCTGGGAAGCGGGTGACTTCACCCCCAGCCCATTGTGCTCATCGTCATGGCAACCCAATCCTCGCTAGGAATGTGGCTGGTGCTTTGAGATGCAAAAGGGGCCAGACAAAGAGCCAGGGGCCCCAGGCCTGAGAAAGACACCCCCTTCCCTCCCCTCCCCTCTCCTTCTAGCCCTCCTCTCAGGCCTGGTGAGCTCGGGCGGGGGCTGGGACGAGCAGGCCTGGGACAAAGTGGCACAGTGCCCGCTGACACCTTAGCGTCAACGGACACCCCTATCCCGGGCAGGGTGAAGCTCTATGAGGGTCCCCAACTGGTGGCAGATTCTGGGGTGATCATCGACACGTCCATGCGAGGGGGGCGTCTTGGTGTATTTTGCTTCTCCCAAGAGAACATCATTTGGTCCAATCTCCAGTACCGATGCAATGGTGAGCGCTGCACCAAGGCCAGCCTGGTCCCACCCCGTGAGCTGCCCTCTCTGACCTTCCTTGTTCCCCTTTTCAGACACAGTGCCAGAGGACTTCGAGCCCTTCCGGAGGCAGCTGCTCCAGGGAAGGGTGTGAGGAGGTGGTCACCGGATTCAGAATCCCAACTTTAGACCCTGGCCCTGGGGTCCATCCTGGAGACCCTGGGGTCTACACCACAGCCCCTCAGCAAACAGACCCTCCTCTGGGTGGGTCAGCAGTTAAGCCCAGGCGGGTTATTGGCCCACTGTTCAGGGCTTTGGAAATTTTCAGGGGGTCCTACTCAGGTACCAACCCCAGGAAAGAACAGCACGTTGCCATAAAATTTCACTTTTTTCTATGCCAGTGCAATTGCTTGTTTTGGGGATTTCTCGGGATATCGGGGAACAGGAAGGATCGTGAGGGGAAGAGAAAAGCTGGTAGGTTGAAAGTTAGAGATCTAGGAAAGTTTGGCGTGGGTGGGAGAGGGGCCAGGTGGGATTAAATGAAGGATGGGGTGCTGGTGAGAGAGGATCGCTAACGTCCTCCCGGCCCCATTACTCACGGTGGCAGCGGCGACACTCCGGTTTATCTTAGATCGGTCGGATGGAAAGCCAGGAGGGCAGGGGCTGCCTCGCTCGGGGTGAGGGGAGGCCGGGGAGGCCGGGGGGCCGAGGGGGCCGGAGGCCGGGACGAGTGCAATATTGGCGGGGCAAAGAACAACACTGCACCGCGTCCCGTCCCTCCCGCCCCCCCGGGGCCCGGAGTCCCGCTCCCCGCCGCCTTTTAGCCCAGGGCCGAAG